ATACGCTAGTGGGTACACTAGATCAATTTGATCATTCAGCAGATTATATCCGCAATGCTGATGTTAATGAATTTTCAAGGATTCCAAATAAATGAGTTTCCAACCCTTGCCTGATTGGTGCAAAATTTCCGTATCGTTCGTCAGATTCGGGAACTTGTGGTTGCATCCCAAGGAATGGTTTGAAAACGTCGAATCATTTTTGATTAGTCTGAAGGACCTTTAATGTTTAGCTACCGTATTGAGAAATTGCCACGACATGAACACTTTTACATTCCGTACACTTAAGCTTATGAACTCCAGCTTTCTCCAACTTGTCCACTCTATCTTTGGCATTGAAAAAGAAATTAGATAACCTGGCATGTGGTCTGAATGCCATTTCCACATTGTTTTTTCTGAAAAATTCCGAAATTGCTTCTGTTCTTTTACCAAAATATGTTGGTTACAAATTTCTCGATTTCTGGTTATCATTTCAAATAAGCGTATCCACCTTGTCAAAAGTAAACAAATTTTAGACACTCAATTAGGTTGAGGACTTCTATTATTACCTACAGTAGATATATAAGAGCTAACATTATAATTTATTTTTGGTTTATGGTAATTATGTGAAAATGTCCTAATAGGACGAAACTACAGTAACATAAGTTACAAATAAAAGTGGTAAAAAAACATAAAAAGTTTTATTTCTCATTTTTCATGATGATTTCCTCCCAAGTAGGCTACATCCATCAACTTATAGAATATTTTGAGACTTTCGAAAATGGACGAGGGTTCTAAGTTGTACGATGTGCTGTTCTATGTTTTGAAATTTTTTTCACAAGCAACAACAAATTATTGAAAACGAAAGGAATACAAAAAAAAATATTCAAAAAAACCACTTTATTGTGAGATTTTTACTTAGTAGTTTTACAAAAACGCAACACGTGTTTCGTCATATAATGGCTTCTTCGGGCGTGTCTCCATTCTCTCCAAAAAACTACAAAAGCAAGCCATGGACCAGGTCTACTCAAATTCAAGATGCGATAACGTCAGCTATATGACTTTGTCTTATTTGAGTGAACCCACCAATAACATTGCCCGTTTTTATTCGAATATTGGCAGATGTAGGTTTTCGGGAACCGTGTCAGCCAATTTTTAAAAAACAAGGTATCATGCCTGTACCAACGTTATTCATTTTTCATGTTTTGCTAGAAATCCACAGAATTGCGAGTACCTTACCTAAACGTTCTAATATTCATCAGTACCGTACGAGAAACGCTGAAAAGATCTGTACAAATCGCCTAGCTAAATCCCAAAAAAATTCTTTGGATTACAACTTATATAACTGTTTCCCAGTCAAGCTGAAAGATCTTAGTATGAATAAATTGAAACAATCCATTAAACAACTACTTATTGGAGGGCTGCTTTTACTGTCTCTCTGATTACCTGGGGTATTTTCAAAATCGCTCCCAAGTCTCAACATACAAGCAACATATTCATCTGACTACCGTAAATATGCTATATCATTATATCATGTTGTTCTTTCATGTGTTTAATGTTAATCTTTATGTTGCTCTACTTTTTATCTTAAATTATATTTTATACTCATCCAATCTGAAATTATTTTTGCTGTGCGTAAGAATATGTAACAAATTTGTCATAACTTGCTACAAACATGTAAAGTGTAATGTGGTTAAATAAGCTTCTATTCTATTCTATTCTATAAAATATATTTCATTCTATTATCAGTTCGGTGAAGGTCGATTTAGGTTCGGATCTTAGACTAGATAAGGAGGAAGCATATTTTTGGTAACGGAGATGCCTTTTTAATGCCCGCTGTAATGTTGGGCTCGGAAGAACTTAACCGAAATCAAGCTCCTTATGACATGAATACAGAAGAGTTTCGACTTGAGCGCCTACGTCTACGAGCTTTCGTAGTTACAGACTCAGATTCATTAAATCTGGTTTCCTGACCTCATTAAAATATATTATTCAGTTTAAACTAGAGAAAGACTTACCCAACGTAGTCATAATGTTGAGATTTTTTTTATTTCTGCCATAAACAATGCTAGTTGTGAAATAAGTTTTGCAAATCTTATATTAATTGAAAATTACCCAAGATCAACTATACCCACCTTGAAATTAACAAATTTTGCCATTCTTGCTTCAAAAAACGATGTTGATATAGAAGGTTATGTAAAGGACTTTGCGTTAAAAAAAACACGTGAAGTACATTTTCAATCAAATTTGTGAACAAAGAAATACTCTAGCTAAGGGATAAGTGCAGGTTGTATGAAAATAGGATGACGGATTTACCTACTGACTTGATGTCGATGTTAAGTTACCCTGCAGGCTGCAGAAGGTCTATTGCTTTTTATTAATTCAAGTTCATCTCAATTACTGTTATGAAAATCGTTGAATCCTAGCTAAAGGTGAAGACCCATATTTAGCGGTAAGCAACGATTCTCCTAATTTAAAATGCAAAGTAAATTCATTAATCAAGTTTTTTTGTTATCTGCGTTAGGCGATTCTAGTTGGCTCTTGTCTGCCACTCAAGTATAATCCGTTATTTCTTTTAATTGTATTAAGTTAAGCTTTCTAGTCTACGTGTACGTACGTATGCAAAACAAGGTTCTGGTTTGTTTTTATTGTTGTATGTAGGTATGTACCTAGTGTTAATTTGATTCTTTTAAAAGATGAACTACGTGGGAATTTCTGATGTACGATGTACCTACCATGTATGTGTGTACATACTGAAGCAGTGGCATAAGTTTATCTTGACTTTCAATAAGTTGTACGAATTACTACTTACACCCGTTAAATAAAAGGTTTGGGCTTTGAATAACATAGCAATATGTATGGAGCTATTGAAGATTGATCACATGTTAAGCAAAGTTTATTTGTTTTTGACCCTGTATAAGGTAACTTCCATGAAATATCTATTTTTGAAAAGATATTTTGTGTCTCAGGTTGATATACATCAATATTAAAAAAATAGTTCGAGTGAATAGTCAAAATTTTCAACTAAAAAAACGTGTATAAAAATTAATCTCATTTAAAAGTCAAATTTTTGTTCATTAACAAACCATTTTGACTTTTCAGTTGAACTATTTTCTCAATATTGATATATGTATCATTATCAGGCACAAACTATCTTTTCTAGATATTTCATGGAGTTATTTTATACAGGCTCCAAAACAAATAAATTCAGCACAACTTGTGGCCAACTTTTAAATTGGCCACAGTTTTTAAAGCTATTATGAAAAAAATCACATATGATGCGGATTTTACTGGTCACAGTGTTTACAGTGAGCGGCTAAATTATGGAACAAATTCGTTATGAACTTTTGACAGAATCATGAAATAGGTCGATTCGTATTTTTGAATGCGATTTTCAAATCGTTATTTAAAGATATTACGTCTCTGGTTTTGTCGTAGTAACGCCATTGGTGATTTTTTAAATTGAAATATAGGTATTGTTAAAAACTTTATCTGAAAGGTTTTTTAATACTGCATTCAGTGATGTTATCAATTTGATATATTTGTACTGGGTGACAAGAAATTTATTTGATTTCATTGGGAGAATACCTTTATATTCAACAAAATACAATAGTTAATTGAGATGCAAACAGCCATCCATTTATCTCTTGACAATAAGCAAATCCACGAAAACATTCCTCTTGCACATTGTGAATAACTTCTGAGGCGATTCTGCTAATTCCGACCGTAATTTCAGCTCCTCTAAATTTTGTTCCGCACAAAAATTTGTAATATGTACCTAATTGGTAGGTAAAGGTTTGTGTTAACAAAGTTCTCTCAAAATGAAATAACGAATCTAAAAATGTGAAAAATTCACGGGGTGTTCCATTTGCAATGGGTGATTTTCTTTACGTGCACTCTCATCGTGTTGAAAAAACGATGTTTATAACACGCCCTGCACGTATAATCCAGATTTTAAATTTATATCAAAACTAGATTTTGTTGAAAAATAACGAAAAAAATGGCCATCCATCATTTTCAAAATGGATTGGAACTTAAAACAATTGGTAGGAATAAAAGTTGTTCATAATTCAACGTAGAATCTAAAAATATGCAGGGTGATCTATTTGAAAAAACAAAGTTGATATAAAAATCAATACAAATGGTAAAATACCTCAGAATCATATCATAAGATATATTCAGAACTTTGATTTTCTTGTGTAGAAATAATAATACTTTAGTTTGAAGGTGGTTGACAATGTTTCGTGGTGTATTTCATCAGTTCGGACTTGCATTGTCTAATATAATATAAATTGATTTGAAATCTCTGAAAGAATCTGTAAAAAATTAAAAAGATTAACCAAAAAATAACAATTTTGTTAAACAAAAAACTGAAATTACAAAATAATAACATACAAGCAACAACCAAAAAATAAAAAAAATTGAACTATCAACAGGAGCTGAAAATTGAAAAATTAATAACTAGAAATGAA